AAATAATAATAATAATAATAATAATAATAATAATAATAATAATAATAATAATAATAATAATAATAATAATAATAAACGAAATAAATGATTTTTCCACTAATTCGAAAACAAATAATAATAATAATGATAATGATAAAATTTTCATTTCGAAAAAATTATTATTTTTTTTCTGTCTTCTGACACGACGGAAAATGATAAATCGAAACCCATGATGCACTCGCTCGATTGTTAAAAATTATTATTATTATTATTATTATTATTATTATTATTATTATTATTATTATTATTATTAATATTTAAACAGGTGCGGTGCATTTTTATTATTATTATTATTATTTTTATGTTCCAACTGATTTTTCCACATCGTGGAAGAAACGTGGTGGCTTTTTCCAAATTCGATCAATTTCAATTTTCGAAAAAAAAATTTTGTGTTTGTTTGTTTGTTTTACTATCTCTCGTTACGTAATAATATTACGATACTATATTATTACGTAATAACACTTTCAATATTATTAACAATTAAAAAAAAAAAAAAAAATGTACAAACGTAAAAAATTTTTTCGTGACGTAATAAACGGAAACGGAAACGATTAATTACGTAGTTGGAGAAAATTATTTATTTATTTTTACGGTTTTTGCGGTAAACCTTAACTCGGGAAATGAATTAACCTTTTAAAAAAAAAAAAAAAAAAAAAAAAAACGGTTTGTAAATCGTGGTTTGTAAATCGAATCGTTTTTTTTTTTTTTTTTGACTTCTTACCCTTTCTATTGCCACGATATCACATTCTAATCACTTTAATATAAAAAAAAAAAGGTTATATACAGCAAAACGATTTTTTCTAATAGAATTTAAATTATTTATATAAAAATACGTAAAAAAAAATTATCAAACGACGTCGTGGCATTAGAATAAATAAAATTTAATTTGATCCTAACACGATTTTATTAGGTGAATAAATTTAATGACCATGATAACGATGATAATACTGTCGGGGTGATAATAAATATTTAATGAAAATAATAATAATAATGATAATAATAATAATGATAATTACCTGTTGATGAATGATTTTTCTTTTCCATTATATATATGTGAGGTAATAATCGGTGAGAAAAAAAAATAAAAATTCAAAAGAAGAAAAAGAATTTTCTTTTTTTTTTGCGCTGCTGATATAAAAAGAAAATTAACGTTAAACTAGATGGTGGTCGAACACGTTTTGTGTGAGGCCATAACGAAACTGTCATTATTTGATTAAGAAAATTTTTGGATGCTGCGCGGAACATGCTGTAGGTCATGGACCAAAAATTGTTTTCAAACAATAACACCACCTAAAAAAAAAAGTTTTCCACATGAAAAATTTTTTTTTTTTGTAATACGAATCGTAATTTTTTTTATTATTGACACGCAATTAATATCATAAAAAAAAAGATTTTAAAATCACGACGGAAATTTTTCTCCCCGCCATTAAAAAAAAATTAAATTTTTAATTTTATCATTAATTAAAATTATTATTATTATTATTATTATTATTATTATTATTATTATTATTAATTTTTCTATCGTTTTTCACGTCGGAAAATTTTAATTTACAATTAAAAAAATATAAAAGACGTATAAATACTGAAAAAAAGGGGGGGAAAAAAAAAGGGAAAGAACTTGATTTGACTCGAGTAGTTTTTAATATGAACGACGATGAATTTTCTTTTACGAAAGAAGGAGAGAAAAGTTTTATCATAAGTTAAACATAAGCGTGTGGTATTTATTTAAAATTATTCCGTTTTTTTTGTTCGTTGTTATTATTATTCCCGACCAAGGGAAACAGGAAATTATCGATCGCGTAAAATTTTCCAAGGGATTTTCATTTTTTTTTTTTTTTTTTTGATCACGGATACAAAATTTCCTTTTTATTTTTATTAATTAATTAATTTATTTATTTTTATTTCAGATTTTTTATTTTTTTAATGGCGGTTTTGATTGGCTTCAAACGATGAGGACGACATCGCCATTATCATAAATATTTCCACACACGTTGACATTAATTTCTCTATCTCTCTTTCTCTCTCTCTCACTCGTCTTCCCAACGAAGAAGAAAAATTTTTTTTTTTGATGATGATGATGATGATAATAATTACAGTAAGTAAAAATAAATTGGCGCTACAATTTTTAACCTTGAAAACTTTAACGAACTTAAATTTTTTCGTTACTTTTGAAATAACCGAAAAAAATTATTATTATTATGGTTATTTTAAAAAATCGTTAATATATAGTTGGACGATACGAGATAATGATAATTATAATCGACGTGTAAAAAATATTTTCTTTTTTTTTAGAACAAAATTTAAAAAAGTTTTCTCGCGAAAACCGGAAACGGATGTTTTTTTTCTTTTTTTAAGTACGTTTGATATATCCGACTTGTTCCGTCGCCATTTTGGTTTTTTCTTTTGTTTTTGTTTTTTTTTTAAATTATTCAAATCACGAGTCGCACACAGGGAAAAAAAATACATAATAAGAATTATTATTATTATTATTATTATTATTATTATTATTATTTTGGGTTTTCAACGACGCGCGTGTATGTTAAATAAAAATTTTTCTCGTTTTCGTTTTCCGGGAAAATTTTTCGCGGGACGATAATTAATTATTGTTTTTTTGAAAAAGCCCGAATTGTAAAAAAATTGTATTTTTACATATGTTTTACGTATGTAAACAGTGTCATTTTATAATTATTATTAATTTCTTATTATTACTTATTATACATTTGCGCCCCCCCCCCCGCCTCGCGTTCGTGACGAAACGTTTTAATAATGAATGACACGATTTGGGCGAAAAATAAATTACTAATAATAATAATAATAATAATAATAATAATAATAATAATAATAATAATAATAATTAAGTAAAATTTGAAAACGGTGTTAAATACCGTTAGAAAACAGCAGAAAGCAGAACGGAAGTAGAAAAAAGTAGAAAAGGTCAAAGGTACGATTGATGAAAAAAAAAGAAAATTTCAATATCTCCTACCGTCGAAACTAGATTGTTGTTGTTGTTGTTGTTGTTGTGGTTGTCGTTGTTGTTGTTGTTGTGGTTGTCGTTGTTGTTGTTGTTGTTGTTATAGTTGTTGTTGTTGTTATTGTGGTTGTTGTTGTTGTTGTTGTTGTGGTTGTCGTTGTTGTTGTTGTTGTTGTTATAGTTGTTGTTGTTGTTATTGTGGTTGTTGTTGTTGTTGTTGTTATAGTTGTTGTTGTTATAGTTGTTGTTATTGTGGTTGTTGTTGTTGTTGTTATTGTTGTTGTTGTTGTCGTTGTTGTTAATTTTTTTTGTTTTTATTTAAATTTTATTTCGACCTTTTGTCGACCGATTGCAATCACTTGAAACGATCAAAAGGAAAAAGGCGCGACATTGACCCGAATATTACAAAAAAAAAAAGAAAAAGGAAAAAAAAGAAAATGAGGTTTTTCGCCCTGTTGGGTTTTTTCGCGTGACGCATGAATCATTTCTAGAAAATTCGTTTTTTTTTTGTTTTTTTTGTTTTTTTTTTTGTTTTGTGTGTTAACATTCGATCACTTTAACACACGATTCGCGTCAATTGTAGGGTGAATGTAAAAAAAAAAAAAAAATTCTGTTGTCCGTTGTTTGTTGTTTATGTGAATTTTTTTCAAGTGGAAACGACGAGAACGAAAAAAAAAATGTTTTTAATTTTTATGTTTAGCTCTTTATTACTTTTGATTGTTTATAAAGCACAACAATGTTGTTTAAAACAATTTTAATACGATTCGAAACGAAAGTAAATTTTCTAAAAAAAAAAAAAAAACGGTTTTGGGAAAACGAGATTTAAATTTTCCGTCTGTTAAATTAACCTGCAAACAATTTTTTTTTTTTTTTTTTTTTTTTTAGTTTTTCCCGATGATTTTTTTCCAGGTGAAAACTATAATTTAATTTTACATCGATCGATATATATTTTCTTTACTTTTGGTCCGATTTAAAAAGTTTTCACGAATCAAAATGAAAATTTCCAGAAGGGAAAAAGAAAAAAAAAAATTTTTTTCAAATAAATAAATAATTTTAATTAAATGGGATGCATAAACAGTTCGATGATAACAAACGATGAATATTATCAAAATAATTTTTATCCAGTACAAAATTATAATTACGACAGAATCCGGATAAGACAGGTTCGCTAATTATTATTATTATTTATTGTTTTTTACAAAAACTTGCATAAAAAAAAAAAAAAAAAAAAAATCACATCCAGGACGAAATAGTAGATCAATGGGTGAAAAACGTGGAACCAGATAAGATAAACGATCATTTTCCAACTGGAGAATTCATTGATGGAATGCTCGGTCTTACCGATAAAAATATAATCATGGATAAATTATCGAAATTAAATAATAATAATAATAATAATCGATTGTTCGAAGACGACGAATTTCCAGCGGATTCTTCGTCCATTTGTTTTTACAATTTACCACAAGAATTGTCGGATGGAGGAGTTAAATGGTTGAGACCTCACGAAATAACAAAAACTCCTTTTCTATTCGTCGATGGAACTAACAGAAGAGACGTTAAACAAGGAATATTGGGTGATTATTATTATTATTATTATTATTATTACTACGTTTTCCTACATGATTAAATAAATCATTTTAAAATCGATAATAATTGTTAATCCTTGACATGAATATTTTATTGTAAATTTTCCTTCCATTGATAAAATTGAATGATGTGACGTCATTTAATGACGTATTTAGGATTGTTTTTGTGTTGCAGGTGATTGTTGGTTTTTATCTGCATGTGCTTCTGTGGCAAAAAAACAAGATCTCATAGAGAAAGTGATCGATCCCAATCAGAAATTATTCGGGGAAGGTTATAAGGGAGTATTGGTTGTTAAATTTTGGAGATTCGGTGATTGGGTATCAGTTTGCATCGATGATAGGTTTTTAACTACTCTATGGTTTGCACTCTTTTAAGTAAAGAAAAAAATCGACTGATCTGAGTGTATCATTCGTAGGCTGCCAACAAAAAATGGCCGTTTAATTTTTGGAAGTTGCATAGATAAAACGGAATTTTGGCTTGCAATGGTAGAAAAAGCTTATGCCAAATTACACGGGAGTTACGAAGCTTTGGTCGGTGGTCACGCACTCGAAGCATTTGTCGATTTAACCGGAGGAATCGCGGAAACGATACAAGTTTCTTCTGGTGGTAATAATAATTAAAAAAATCAATCGTTTTAATAATTATTATTAAAATTTAAACTGTTTTTACTCGCTCGGTCGCAGATACGTTTAATCAATTGAAATTATTATTTTCTCATGGAGCGTTCATTACGTGCTCTAGAAAAGGGGAAACCGATCATCATAAAGATTGCAGGAAACACATTCTTAGTTCTAATGGTCTCATAGAAGGACACGCGTATAGCGTCACATGTGTAACAACAATAAAATTGTTAAATAAAAATTTTGTAGAATTAATAAGATTGAGAAATCCTTGGGGAGATGCTGTGGAATGGGATGGAGCTTGGAGTGATAGGTTAGATCTTTACATTTATCAATTTTATATATATTTACATATATTATTTAATTTTAAAAATTTTCTTTCGAAATATCTTAACGAGTAATTTTCCTATTCTTGATTATTAATAATAATAATGATAATAATAATGAGTAAAAACAAAGAAGTTGCTTTTAAGCGATTATATTGTTATATACAAGTATTAGTCTTTGTTTATTTTATATTTTGCTGTTGTATTACATTCATTATCGTCGTATAAAATTTAATTTTTTGGATTTTTAACGAGGGAAAAATTATTATTAATATTTAATATCATTAAATTAACCGGAATTTATGTTTTTAACGGTAAAATTACTTAAGATATTACCTACATGGGATTATTATGATTTTTATCGTCTGCTAATCAATTTTATAAAAAATAAATTTAAAAATGACGGTTTCTCATTGGTCAATTTAAATAATAGTTGATAAATTTTTCCACTAGATGTCGTTGTCAATTGTGTAATCAACGGTTTTATTATTTTGAATTCGTTCGAGAACGTTTATGACTTAAAAACGTTTTTTTTCTTTTTTTTTTTTTTTTAAAGGAGTTCCGAATGGGATAACGTTTCCGATGAAGAAAAAAAAAAATTAAAATTATTAGCTAAAGACGATGGTGAATTTTGGATGGGATTTAATCATTTTAAAAAAGAATTCGAAGAAATAACGGTTGCTACCATCGGACCAGATTTCGATCAAGATGGCTTACCAGGTATTATATATAAAAAAAATTTTTTCGAATAAAATCACATAAAATTTACGTATGATTATTTATTTTTATCGCGCAGACGTTCCTTTGGAAGTAAGCACTATAAAAAGCTGTTGGAAAAAAGGAATAAATGCTGGAGGTTCCAGGAACGATCCGGAAAAATTTTCACTTAATCCACAATATTTATTACATTTAAAAGAATCCTGTTGGTCTAAGGAGGGGAATGAATGTAGCAGCGTTTTGGTTGGATTAATGCAAGAACACAGGAGAAGTGAAAAAAATAAAAGATTAGCCATGATTCCAATCGGATTTTTTATTTATAAGGTACGACAAGACAATCAGTGAAAGGTACAAAAATTATGAAAAATTTCTTTAAAAAACCTAAATTTTTTTTTTTAATATTTAAGACTGACACGCCGTTCGAACGATTAGGACCTGAATATTTTCTTTGCATGCCTGAAGAATCAAGTTCTGGTGATTTTACAAATCGACGAGAAGTCATAGTTAGAACAAATTTAAAACCCGGATATTACGTCATAATACCGGCAACCTTTTTCCCAGATACGGAAACGAATTTCATGATTCGCGTTTTTTCACTGCAACCTTTTATTTTAAAAGAAATAACGAATGAAAATGATGACGAATTTACACGAAAGTTACCGGAAGTGCCCGAAAATAATAATAATAATTTCAATACCGGGTAAATTTTCTCATTTTTATTATTATTTTTTATATATAAGTTTTTCTTATGATGATTTTCATCGATGAGTCTAACCGTCAAAGTCGGCCATTTTGTTTTCATCATTTCCCATGAATAAAAAACCGTTAAATAATAGATAAATGGATTTATTGCGTTATCAAATTTGTTTTTATAATTTAAATTAGAATCGTGAGAAAATAATTCAAAGCATATCTTGTATCCTGAGTAAATTAGTTTTGTAACAATTTAAACTGCAGAGAGGAAAACCCGTTTTCGAACACGAATATCTTTTGTCGTTTTCGCATCCATCCACAGAACATTTCATTCTCATCGGTGGTTCTCTAGGTTTCGAATAAGTCAATGGAAAATCATAACCGTTGGGAACGATTATTTTAGTTTCCGTTTGAGAATTCACGTAAACAATTTGCGGTGTTGATTTTCTCGTTATTTTTTTCGCACCGGATTTAATCGTTTTAGAATCTTGTTTTTTTAATAATCTTTCCATTGTTTTTTTCTATAAAAAAAAAGAGAGAGAGAGAGAAAGTTTTTAATTATTAATAATTTAAATTAAAATTTGCTGTTTTTTTTTTTTCTCTTTCATTACTTTATCCTTTTCCCTTTTTTCATCAGCCATTTGTTTTCGTTTTTGTGATTTGATTGCTTTACGTTGTATCGCTTCAGCAGTCATAACAACTTCTTTATAACCTAAATGAGAGGAAAAGTTAGTCGAAGGTATGCGAGTAAAAATTTAAGGTATATATAAAACGTACCTGATGGAAGCGACATAAGTTGTTCTTCAGGTTCTTTATCCGTTTTTCTTTCCAACATGGCTCTTTGTCTAGCAGTCATTAATTTGGGATCCTTTGGTTTTATTTTTTTTAATTCTTCGTCTACCTGAATAAATCGAAATGTTCAAGTTGTAAAAATCATGTCAGGGATTGGAGTAATTAAATCGGGATTGTGCCACTCACTTCGTCTAATTTTCCAGATTGTATAGCATCCAACCATCTTTCTTCTTCGCTCGATGTTTCAGAATCTTTTCTTTGATTTTTTTTCTTTTTTTGTGATTTGGATGAGGGAGGAGTGGTTTCAGCATTTGAAACCAATCCCAAACCTTGACCAATTTTATCAACATATTTTTGTATTGGAGATTGTGTAACTTCTGGTTTTTTCCTACTTGTAGATACTTCTTTCACTTCTTCAATGATAAATTTTTTTTTTTTTGTGAAATTATGAAATAATTTTCTCAAAATGTTTAAATAAAAAAAAACTTTTTCATATTTTTACCTGGTTCTATTTTTTTCTTTTTGTGTTTTTTATGTTTGTGTCTTCTATGCCTTTTTTGACTGGGTTTGGCAACATCAGAGCCTAAAAAAATAATAATAATAAAATCATTTAAGTTTAAATAATGGCAATATGTGTAGCAATACATAAAAACCAAATATATAATTAAATATTAGTGAGTAATAATATATAGAGAAAGAAAAGGACAGAAATAGAAAAAAAGAAATTTATTTCTAGAAATTTAAAGAAAAAAATTTAATTAAAAACGGGTTCATTATCGATTTATTAATATGGTAAATATTTATTTAAAAACAAAAATAAACTAATAATTTACTCACTAACATCAACTTCTTCATCGGTCGAAGAATTTTTATTGTAAACCATTTTCATTATAAAAAAAAAAAAAAAATGTTTATTTATATACGTATTTGATATAAACGTTTGGGTAAAGTGTGCCAACCAAACAGTTTAGCCAACGTTGAAATTAAAAACGAAAACATGATCAGTTCAAGTTAAATTAGAATGGGGGAAGATGTTGTGCTGTTAAATTTTTTAAAATTAAAAAAAAAAAAAAATTTCTCATTATTATTATTATTAATATAATTTTTTTTAAAAAAAAAGTATTTTATTTAATAATCCCAGTAATTAATGGTATCGTTTTATTATTATTATTATTATTTAAGGTATGATTTTTATTTTTTATTTTTTTTTTTACTTAATATTTATACTTATTAGTATTAAAAAAAAAAAAAAAAAAAAATTGTTTGTATGGAAAATTCATTTGTTTTGCTAATCAAGTTAATAAAAATTAAAGCATGACAATATATATTATTATTATTATTATTAACAAAAGTTAATCTGTAATGAGTTTTAATATTTAAATATGGTTTTTGTTTTATTTTATTTTTTACACTTTCATGTTTTTTTCGATGATCATTATTAAATCCTATTGGATTTGAATTTTCGAATCAATTTTTTAATAGAAAAAAAAAAAAAAAAAAAAAAATGAAATGGCAATTATGTGCTAGTTAAAAAACAAATATTAACTCTTGCACAAGAATGATTAATGTAAACAAGTCAATTAATAAAATCTTATGAATTTTCTAGTTTTAAGTTTGTTTTTATATATTGCTTACCTTTATTAAATTTTATTTAATTTAAATAATTATTTTTATTAATATTAAATTTAATGTATTAATTGTATTATTAATATTATCGCTATTTCGAGAAAATAATTTTTCATTTGTTTTTTTTTTTTTGTTTCAGATTTGCATATGTAATGATTAAAAGAATAAATTAGAAAAAAAAAAAAAGAAAAAAGAAAAATGGGAGAATCAGTCGGACCTGCTAGTTTTCTACATTTGGGAGACATTGTATCTCTCTATGCTGAAGGTAGCGTTTGCGGGTATTTAAGTACTCTGGGTTTGGTAGATGACAGATGCGTTGTTTGCCCAGAAACTGGAGATCTTACAAATCCTCCGAAAAAGTTCAGGGATTGCTTATTTAAAATATGTCCAATGAACAGATATTCGGCTCAAAAACAATTTTGGAAAGCAGCTAAACAAAGTGGAAATTCGACAGATGCAAATTTACTTAATCGATTACATCATGCTGCTGAAATAGAAAAAAAGCAGAATGAAAGTGAAAATAGAAAAATATTGGGTTCTGTTGTACAATATGGTAGTGTTGTGCAATTGCTTCATTTAAAATCTAATAAGTACTTAACGGTTAATAAAAGATTGCCGGCATTATTGGAAAAAAATGCAATGAGAGTTTATCTTGATACTAATGGAAACGAAGGCTCTTGGTTTTACATAGTTCCTTTTTACAAATTGAGAGCTTCCGGTGATAGTGTAGTGCTTGGTGATAAAGTGATTCTTAATCCAGTTAATGCGGGTCAACAAGTACTCCACGTTGCTTCCAATTATGATCTTCCAGATAACATAGGATGTAAAGAAGTCAATGTCGTGAACGCAGGAACATCTTGGAAAGTGACTTTATTCATGGAACACAGAGAAAATTCCGATGACATTCTTAAAGGAGGAGACGTTGTTCGATTGTTTCACGCCGAACAAGAAAAATTTTTAACCATGGATGAATATAAAAAAAAACAACACGTTTTTTTAAGGACGACGGGTAGAGTTTCGGCCACATCAGCCACGAGTAGCAAAGCGTTATGGGAAGTAGAAGTAGTGCAACATGATCCGTGCAGAGGAGGAGCAGGTCATTGGAATTCATTTTTTCGTTTTAAACATTTAGCCACGGGTCAATATTTGGCTTCGGAAGTAGATGAAGATGACACTCCGGATGCCATGAGATCTAAACTTAAAGATAACGGACCAGTTTATCATTTAGTATCCGTACCCAATTCGAACGAAATAGCGTCTTTATTTGAACTCGATCCGACCACACTCATTCGAGCCGATTCTCTAGTACCTCAATCTTCTTACGTTCGCCTCCATCATTTATACACTAATACTTGGGTTCATTCCACTGCTATACCCATAGATAAAGAAGAAGAAAAACCAGTTATGTCTAAAGTTGGCTGTGCTTCTATGAAAGAAGACAAGGAGGCATTTGCTCTTATTCCAGTTTCTCCAACCGAAGTCCGCGATTTAGATTTTGCAAACGACGCTTGTAAAGTTCTTGCGGCGAATTCTGCTAAATTAGAAAAAGGGACCATGTCTCATAATGAAAGAAGGGCTGTGACGAATTTATTACAGGATATAATATATTTTATCGCCGGTCTTGAAAACGAGCAAAATCGAATGGACGCTCTTGAATTGACCGTTGTGACTCCGAATCGAGATCGGCAAAAGCTTTTACGAGAACAATACATATTGAAAGAATTATTTAAAATATTGCAAGCTCCTTTTATGGAAACGCCCGAGGGAGAAGCTCCATTTTTAAAGATAGAAGAACTGGGAGACCCTAGACATGCGCCGTACAAACATTTGTTCAGACTTTGTTACAGAATATTAAGGCTAAGCCAACAGGATTACAGAAAGAATCAAGAACACATTGCAAAACATTTTGGATTCATGCAAAAGCAAATCGGTTATGATATATTAGCGGAAGACACTATCACGGCTTTATTGCATAACAATCGAAAACTGTTGGAAAAACACATAACAGGAGCCGAAATCGAAACTTTTGTCGGTCTCGTGCGGAAAAACATGAGCAATTGGGAATCAAGATTTCTCGACTACCTCTCAGATTTGTGCATTTCAAACAAAAAAGCCATTCCCGGAACTCAAGAATTAATATGCAAGTCCGTTTTAATGGATTCTAAAAACGCCGATATACTTATCGAAACGAAAATGATGAAAACTCAAACGGAGGTTTTGGATTCTGAAGTGGCGGAAGTGGAGGACGAACCGGATAATGAAACTGATCCTTTTGTAACGACATCGATAAAAGAAACCGAAGAAGTATGTCTTATAATCGGTAAACGTGTTTTGTCATTACATGAACTTTCGAAATCGGCCAAAGCCAACTGTCCCGAGTCCATTGCCATTTTAGAATACTATCGCCATCAACTTAATTTATTTTCAAACATGTGCTTAAATCGTCAGTACTTAGCCTTGAACAGTCTTTCTCACCTTGATATTGACCTCATACTGAAATGCATGGCAGACGAAACGGTACCGTTTGAACTTAGAGCATCCTTTTGTAGACTCATGTTGCATTTACACGTTGACAGAGACCCACAAGAACCCATAACTCCCGTCAAGTATGCAAGACTATGGTCTGAAATCCCTTCTAAAATGTCTATAAAAGATTACGATAACAATATTGCACCGAATCGTACAAAGGAAGCCGTACAAACGAAATTTGCTTCGACCATTCAATTCGTTGAGAATTATTTGTGCAACGTCGTCGACAAAATGTGGAGTTTTGCTGACAAGGATCAAAACAAGTTGATTTTTGAAGTCGTCAAATTGGCTCGTGAATTAATTTATTTCGGTTTTTATAGTTTTAGCGATTTACTTAGATTGACAAAAACATTGTTAAGTATATTAGATTGCGCGTCTGAAAATGATTTCGTCAATGGAAAATTATCCGTTCACGATATTAATTCCGAGGGAGGTGTTTTGCGTAGTATTGGCGACATGGGGGCCGTTATGTCGGGTTTAGCTTTGGGTGCATCGGGTTTGACTCGTACCTCGTGCGGTCCGAAACAGCCTCAATTAAAAAAAGAATATCCCCTCGTCATGGACACGAAATTGAAAATCATTGAAATATTACAATTCATCATGGATGTACGTTTGGATTACAGAATCAGTTCTTTGCTGAGTATATTTCGAAAGGAATTTGACGAAACGGGTGCGGCGAACGAGTCTAAAACAACCGAAAAGCACAACGTGGATTTAGAAATGGTTGCGACTCAAGCGGAAGGAATATTCGGAACGGACGGAGATTGCGAAAATCTCGATCTCGATGGAAAAGGCGGCAGAACATTTTTGAGAGTTTTACTTTTGCTCACAATGCACGAATATCCGCCTCTCGTTTCGGGAGCTTTGCACCTCCTATTCAGGCATTTCAGTCAGCGTCAAGAGGTTTTGCAAGCTTTTAAACAAGTTCAATTATTGGTATCGGACAGCGATGTTGAATCTTACAAACAAATCAAAAGCGATTTGGATGTTTTGAGACAGTCGGTGGAGAAATCCGAATTGTGGGTGTACAAATCGAAAATAGTCGATCACTCGGATAAGAAAAAGAAAAGCAAGGAGGACGACGATGACGTCGGTGAAAAAGAAAAAACGATAAAAAAGAAATTATCGTCCATATCGACGACCGAGAAAAGCGGTAGCGCGATCGAATTGGACATAGGACCACCGTTGGAACCCGAACAATCGGAAGAATACAAAAAAGTACAAAAAATTTTAATTAGAATGAATCAATTGTGCACGACGGAGGGATCCGTTGGAAAACCGAGAAAACACGAGCAACGTTTATTGAGAAACGTGGGCGTTCACACGGTTATTTTAGATCTCCTTCAAGTACCTTACGATGAAAAAGAAGACGTTCGAATGAATCAACTTTTAAATTTAGCACATCAATTCCTGCAAAATTTCTGTTTGAGAAATCAACAAAATCAATTACTTTTACACAAACATTTGGATTTATTTTTAAATCCGAACATTAGAGACGCACAGACTGTATGCAGCATATTTCAAGATAATTTAATTCTTTGCAATGAAGTCAGCGAAAAAGAAATTCAACATTTTATTCATTGCATCGAAAGCCACGGAAAGCACGTACAATATTTACAATTTTTACAGACCATTGTCAAAGCCGAAGGACAGTTTATTAGAAAATGTCAAGACATGGTCATGCAAGAATTGGTTAATGCGGGAGAAGACGTTTTGATATTTTACAATGACAAAGCTTCGTTTAATTTATTCGTCGAAATGATGCGTTCTGGACGGCACGGAATGGATGAAAGCAGTCCGTTGAAATATCACGTCGAACTCGTGAAATTGTTGGCGTGTTGCACGATGGGTAAAAACGTGTACACGGAAATTAAATGTCACAGTCTGTTGCCTCTTGACGACATTGTTACCACGGTTTGCCATAAAGACTGCATTCCCGAAATCAAGGAAGCGTATATTAATTTTCTTAATCATTGTTACATCGACACGGAGGTGGAAATGAAAGAAATCTATAATTCTCAACACATGTGGACTCTTTTTGAAAATTCATTTATGGTTGATCTCGGAGCGGCGGCTTCGAGCGGAAGCAGCACCGATCGTAAAAACTACGATCAACCTTTGATTTCTTACGTGACGGGACCTTTGATGAACGTCATTTCCTCATTTTTCGGGAGTCCGTTTTCCGATCAAAGTACGACCGTTCAAAGCAGGCAACCGATTTTCGGAAAACTTTTCCAAGCCACTTGCAGACTTTCGCAATGCGATTGGTTGACTCCCACTCAAAGGTTCAACGTCGAAAATTGCATAAAAACGCTCAGCGAAGTCGCGAAAAGTCGAAACATCGCCATACCTTCCTATCTCGAAAATCAAGTCGTGTCCATGTTCAACACGAAAAATACTTTGCTGTCGAGGCAAACGAGTAAATGGTTGCAAGCTAGCAAGACTCCTAAAGTCGAAAGGACTCATTCTCAAATAATGAAAATAGACAAAAGTATCATCGAGGGTTTGCAAGATATCGTTTCGCTGTTGGAAGAACAATTGAAACCCCTCGTTCAAGCCGAACTTTCTTTGCTCGTCGACATATTGTATCGTCCGGCTTTGTTGTTCCCCCTTGGCACCGAGGCTAGGAAAAAATCAGAAAACGGAGGATTCATTCGTCGTTTGATAAAACACACGGAAAAGCTGTTGGAAGAAAAAGAAGAAAAATTATGCGTCAAAGTCCTGAGAACCCTTAGGGAAATGATGACCATCGATTTGGATTACGGCGAAAAGGGTGATTTGTTACGTAAGGTTTTACTCGACAGGTATTTCAGTAAAAATACAAAAAGAAGAGAAAGTTTAGATTCTTCGAATATGAAATACGCGTCTCCTACGCCGATTTCTCACGGTCCGGGTGCGAAGTATTTAATAAGAGCCGCGAGAACTCTCTACGAAGTACAGAGTCATTTAGATAATGAAGGCGCGTCGGATTTAGTCGTGGAACTAGTTATAAAATCCGTTAATTCTCCGAGCATTTTCACCGAAGCTGTCGAATTGGGAATCGCATTGCTCGAAGGCGGAAATCCGGTCATTCAAAAAAGCATGCATTCAAAATTACTCGGCGGAGATTTGAGTCAATCGTTTTTCAAAGTTTTTTACGATAAAATGAAAGACGCTCAAACGGAAATAAAAACGACCGTGTCCGTCAACACGTCCGACATGGCGGCAAACACGAACGATGAAAAAGATTCGATAAAAGACGGGGATAAGATACGTAAAAAACGTGGTAACAAACAAAATGGAATTTTCGTCACGGAATCGTTGCAAGAAGAATTAAATCAAGCGGCTTTGAGCACGACTCAAGCGTATGCGAACGCTCGAAACCTTTCCTCGGGAGATGATTCCGTGCTTGGTATGCCGTACATACCGGGAGGTGGAACTCTTGAAGAATTATTGAGCGAAAAAGTCGATCGTCACCGCGATAAGGAAGATCCGAGCAAACTTTCTCAGAAAATAATCGTCATGCAACCCGTTCTACGATTCCTTCAGTTGCTCTGCGAAAACCACAACCGCGATTTGCAAAACCTGTTGAGGAATCAAAACAATAAAACAAATTACAATTTAGTTTCGGAAACTCTAATGTTTTTAGATTGCATTTGCGGTTCGACCACCGGAGGATTGGGTTTATTAGGTTTGTACATTAACGAACACAACGTCGGATTAATTAATCAAACTCTGGAAACGCTCACGGAATACTGTCAGGGTCCTTGTCACGATAATCAAAATTGCATAGCGACGCACGAGAGCAACGGTTTGGATATAATTACCGCGTTAATACTTAACGATATTAATCCGTTGGGAAAATCAAGGATGGATTTGGTTCTCGAATTAAAAAACAACGCTTCTAAATTGTTATTAGCCATTATGGAGTCGCGGGGGGATGGGGAAAACGCGGAAAGGATTTTGTGCAACATGAATCCGAAACAATTGGTCGACGTCGCATCCAAAGCTTTTCACCAGGAAGTGTTTCAAGACGACGATGATCTCGACGATGCTCTCGCGGATGCGGACGGAGGAGTTTCCCCCAAGGAAGTCGGTCATAACATTTACATTTTGTGTCATCAATTGGCTCAGCACAATAAAGAATTGGCGGCTTTGCTCAAACCCTCTGACGTCACGTCGGATTTCAAAGCTTATCAAGCTTTGTCCTACTACGCATCTCACACGGCGCAAATAGAAATAGTTCGAGGGGATAGAACTCTGGAGCAAATAGTTTTTCCGATCCCGGAAATGTGCGAATATTTGACGCACGAAACGAAAGTTCGAGTGTATCAGACTGCTGAGAGAGATGACCAAGGGTCAAAAGTTCAAGATTTTTTCGAAAAGACTGAAGATATGTTTAACGAAATGAAATGGCAGAAAAAACTTCGGGGTCATCCGATACTTTTTTGGGTGAGTAGTTACATGTCTCTCTGGAGTTCGCTCCTTTTCAATTCCGCCGTTTTAATAAACATAATCGTTGCATTTTTTTACCCCTTTAGTCAAGATTCTATTCCCAATTTAGGATTTCATTTGAGCACATTGATTTGGATGACGACCGTGTCTTCGGCACTCATCGTGACCACAGTGCCTCGCGAATCGGGTATAAGAACGTTCGTGGCATCGACGATGCTGAGAATGATATTTTCGATAGGACCCGAACCCACCCTTTGGGTTTTGGCCGTGTTGAACATATTTTTAAAAATAGTTCACTTGTTGAGCATAATGGGAAATCAAGGAACTCTGACGAAACAATTCGATCAAATAATAAGCAATTTCGAATTGTTGTACCATCTCGTTTATTTATTATTTTGCATTTTGGGATTGTGCTGTCATCCATTTTTCTATTCCGTTCTACTGTTCGACGTGGTTTACCGGGAGGAAACACTTTTGAACGTTATAAGATCGGTGACGAGAAACGGTCGATCCATTTTATTGACCGCCGTATTGGCTCTCATACTCGTGTACATGTTCTCGATAATCGGCTACATGTTTTTCAAAGATGATTTTCTCGTGAGCGTCGACGTGGACGAAAGCAATGCGGATAAACCGGATAACGAAACGGATTCGTCTCGACTGTTGCAAGTGTCGGGAGAATCCAAAGAACGATCTTGCGATTCTCTAATCATGTGCATCGTGACGACGCTCAATCAGGGATTGAGAAACGGCGGCGGAATCGGCGATATATTGCGAGCGCCGAGCAGCAGCGAATCCCTTTTCGTTCCGCGCGTCATTTACGACCTGTTATTTTTCTTCATCGTAATAATCATAATATTGAATTTGATTTTCGGTGTCATAATCGACACGTTCGCGGATTTAAGGAGCGAAAAACAACAGAAGGATCACGTGCTTAAAAATACGTGTTTCATATGCGGTTTGAACAGGTCGGCGTTCGATAATAAGACGGTGAGTTTCGAAGAGCACATAAAATGCGAGCACAACATGTGGCACTATTTGTATTTCGTCGTTTTGGTCAAGGTAAAAGATCCGACGGAATTCACGGGTCCGGAGAGTTACGTTTATTTCATGGTGAAAAATCACAATCTCGATTGGTTTCCGAGATTGAGAGCCATGTCTCTGGCCGTACACGAAAGCGAGGGAGAACAAATGGAATTGAGATCGTTGCAAACGCAATTGGAAGCGACTCAAAATTTGATATCTTACCTGTCGAAACAATTGAACGAACTCAAAGATCAGATGACGGAACAGAGAAAGCAAAAACAAAGGATCGGTTTGCTTAATTCCACGTCCGGATATTTGTCTCTTCCGCGCGAGTGAGGTTCGTTTGCGGCGACTTGTGCGAGTGACGAATTCTTTCACGAGTCGCCGCCGATTCGAAAATTAAGCGTGGCAGCAGGTTTCAGATTCTGTTGAGATTTTTTTTTCCCTCCCCCCCCCCACGAACCTCCCTTTTTTCATCTCTTCTCTCCCGTTCCTCCTCCCCTTCCCACTCCGCATTCAAAAATCAATTAATCAAAAAGGGGCGTGAGAAGGCGAGGGGAGGGAAAGAGAGAGAGAGAGAGGGGGAAATGTGTCGCCGCCGTTGCAATAAAGAAAAAAAAATTTTTTTTTTTTTACGCTCGTTTATAAATTAATTAAAAATCTAAAAGATCCCGAAGGAATGAAATGTGATTTTTTTTTTTTAATTTCATCGTTGTGCGATTCCTCTGCGAAATTGATTACTCGCTCACGCAAACAAACGAAAAAAAAAAAATTTTTTTTTCTCTCTCTCTCTCTCTTCCTCTCTCTTTTAAAGTTATTTTCGTCGAGTCGGTGTAAGAAAAATTTTCCGACGGTTTTTTGATGACGTAGTAATGACGTAGTTCCGGCCTTATTGAAAAGCAGACGATATTTTCCCTGCGCCGTGAATATCGAAAAATTTCTTTAATTGTCAATTAGAAAGAGATATTTAGACGAGAGAGAAAAAAGATGGGATAGGAAATAGTTATTATTATCATCATCATCATCATTATCATTATTGCAAATTTATATTTATGTATATAATCCCCCCATCGGATGGATTAATTAATTAATACTTGATAGTTTTATCGTTAATTGAATAATAATAATAAAAAAATGTCGTCTTCTTGTTATTAAACACGGGATTGTTTTAATCAATTGATAATTGATGTGTTTGATAGGTCATCGACCCGAAATGGACCAAAAATAATAATAATAATAATAATAGCAATAGCATTTAATGAATTATTAATTTTTTCCACGTTTTTTTTTTTCGTTTTTTTTCTCTCTCTCTCTCTTTTCTCTTTCATTCCCTTTTCTTCCTTCTTTTTCCCTTTCTTTCCCCCGCATTACACCCTGCTCGATGTTCTCTCTCTCTCTCTTCCTCTCTCTTCCTCTTTCTTCCGTTTAACGTCTTCCGATTTCATGTCGTCGAAAAAATTAATAACGAAAAAAAAACAAAATGGCTTCCAATATTATTAATTAAATAATCGAATATTAAACAAAAAAAAAATTTTTTTTTTCGATTAATCGATTTATCGGTTCGATTCGATTTTATTATCATTATTATTATTATTATTATTATTTTAATTTTTATGCATTTTATTTTTTATTTTATTTTATTTTTTAATTTTTAATTTATTTTAGCGATTTCATTCCTTGAATCAACGTTTTGTTTTTTGTTTCTCTTGTTGTTGTTTGTTGTTGGTTGTTGGTTGTTGTTGTCGTGAGCGTTTGTATTTAAATATGGCGGATGTTTTTGGTGAAAGACATGATGACGATGACGATATTTAAATAAACGGATTTTATAAATTCAGCACAAAAAAAAAAAAAACATTTCTCGAGTTCGTTATCAATTAGTCACGTTTTTGGCAAAAAAAAAAAAAATTAAATTTGTCGATTTGATGACGTTTTTTTTTTTTTTTTACTTCATTGACGACGAATTATTAATGACGTCATCATTATTATTATTATTAATACTACCGCCATTTTTTTTTTTTTACACGTTTACGAGGAGATTTGAAAACGTAATCGATGTGTTGTATGAAATATGTGTCGACGTGTCGGCCGAATTATTTTATTTTTTTAATTTCATTCCCATTTAGGTGAAAACAAACAGCGTTTGTACTTGACTGATTGTTCTTGTTTGTTTGTTTGTTTGTTTGTTATTCTTCCGATCGTCTTTTCTTTTTTGTGATATGAATTGATTTATCTGTAACGATGATGATTTTTTTTTTTTTTTAAAGAATTAATGGCTGTCATCGTTACGTGTTATTTTATTGTGAAACGTCACGTGGTAGTTTTTTTTTTACCACCTGTACAAAACTAATGATAATAATGATGATGATGATGATGATGATGATTGATTGGTAAATTGCAAAAATTGATATCATCGCACAGATCGTGTTAGTTGTAGCGCGTCGGAATTTATTTATTTATTTATATATTATTATTATTATTGTTGATTGAAATATTTCTTTTTGTAAATCGATCGATGATTGATTGATTGATTTATCGATTTATCGATCGATCGAAAAAATATTCGCGTTTATTTTTTTTATTTATTTATTTTTATTTTTATATTTTTTGATTTTACGAGAAGTCAATTATGCTGTTGTTGTTTTTGTCGTCGATGTTACATTATTATTATTATTATTATTATTATTATCATCATCATCATCATTAATATGTCATTAAGCACAAATTGTTGTTATTTTATTTTGTTTATAATAAATATAATTAAAATGTTACGCATAATAATAATAATAAATGAAATGACGACGTGTTGTATACACGTCACATAATCGTTTCGCGTGATAATTTTTAAGTTTTTCTATTGTTAAATTGCGAAAATGATTTTATCCTTAATACGGTCCTTAAATTTATATAAATAAACAATTGATCCCGTTCGGCCTTTAATTATGATAAAAATTATTATAATTTTTAAATTTTCATTTTCACGTATAAGCTCAATATAAGTGTAATTTTTCATTTTTTTTTTTATTTTAAAATTGATTAACTTGTCGCGAATTTTATTTAAAAAAATTTATTTATTATTATTATTATTATTATTATTATTATTATTATTATTATTATTATTTTGTTGTTAATAAATACGCATAAATTATTTATTAAAAATAAATAATGATAATAATATTAATGTTTCGTGTAAATCATATAAAATTTTTTTCTGTTATTGTTATTATTACTATTATTAATATTGTTGTTGTTTTTTTTTATTTGCACGTGCTTAAACACGTGCGGGAGAGAGAAAAATTCATAAATTTTTTTTTTAAAAAAAGTTTCAAATACATAAATAATTTATTAATAATAATAATAATGATAACAAAAATTTTAAATAAGTTGGTTACATATGCGTAAAAATGTGTTTAGTATATTTTAGTTATTTCGATCAATCGATCGATCGATCGATCGATATATCGATTCTCATCGTTAAAAATTATTTAAACATTTTATAATTGTGAGAGTAATTAATAAATTAATAATTATTAATTACTTAAATTTATTATTTCGTGCAATATTGTATATAATAATAATAATAATAATATAATTGTTTTAAAAATGGTGCTTGGATATTTACAATCTTAAAAAAAATTACATATATAATATAAATCATTTATTATTATTATTATTTATTATTAATTATTAATTATTATTTACATGATTGTTATTAAGTTCAAAAAAAAATTATATATTTATTTTTTTATGTTTATATTATTATTATTATTATTATTTGATTTTATCGACTGAAATATAAACGAAAAATAAAATAAAAGGGAAACATTTTATTATTATTATTATTATTATTATTGATAATCGTACCTGTTAAAAGTGAAATTTTAAAATTGAAAAATGGTGGTAGAGAAGAAAATGGAAAAAAAAAAAAAAATTTATTAAAATTTATTTTCACGTGTATAATAAATAATTTTAAGTGTGCAATATTATTTACGTTAAGGGTGCGTGTGTGCGCGTGAGTCTCGTTTATTTGATTATATTTTATTCCATTATTATTATTATTATTAAAATTAAATTTTATTTTATTTTATTTTTTTTATTATTAAGTTGGTATCGCGGTTTTTATACGAATGAAAAATGACGGGTTTTAATTGTTTATGTAAGTAATAATAATAATAATTAATAATTTAGGGTATAGGAATGAAATCATCGCACTTGAATGTTTTCTTCTATTATTATCATTATTATTATTATTATTAACATAAACACGGAAAGAGAGAGAGAGAAAGTGGATAAAAAAAAAAGGTTATTTGAAAGAAAAAAAATTGTTTTATAATAATTATTTGTTTAATTAATTTTAAAGTTTTTTTGGAAAAATAAAATAAATAAATAAATAAATAATAATAATAATAATTATTATTATTTTCCTGTGTGATTCGCCGCCATTTTGTTTTTTGTTTTCATATCCGTTAACGACGATTGAAAAAAGTTTTTTGTGTATTTTTTTTAATCCTATCAAATTTTTTCCCTTTTAAATATTATTATTATTATTATTGAATTCCGATCGAAACCGTTTGAAAAAAAAAGGGAATGAATG